TAAAGAATCAGTGCAAATCTTAAAACAAAAAGAAATATGATACAAATAGTGAAGAAGAATTTTCATCTTTCAGCAATATTTTCTTTCTTCTCCACCATGATATGAACCTTTGGAGATAATTTTCTGCTATGATAAGACATCTTCCCATGCAATCTGTTAGGTAGCAAGTCACATCTTGCAAACAAGATGTACTTTAAAGAGAGAGCACTATTCTGTGGCATGTTATAATGAACTAAAGGATGCATATTTTTAAAAGTCTGGATCAAGTTAACAGTTCCATCAATATCAATTTTGCTCCTAAACTCTGTTAAATAATCTCTATGTTATTGGTTGAATGGCTTTCTTTACTGAGATAGTTTTGCTATGTTTCTTAGACAGTTTCTTATTACTTTATACACAATTAGCCTAACACAACAGCTGTCTCTCACTCAAGAAGTGTTTCCTTTTTTTCAGGTCTGTCCCTGTTGCTTCTCATTGACCTTTTGGAAATTTACAATTAGTGTTATACAACAATTTAGTGTTAAATTGAAGATTTCAACCAGTGTAATATGATAGGAAGTCAAAATTAAAACTTAATCAAAAGAAAGACATATGATCTCTTGTAGATGGCATGAATGTCAATATAGAAAATCTTAAATAAATAATCTACAGAAAGGTTACTAGAATTGATATACAAATTACAGTGATATCAAACATCATATTTTTCAGAAGTTGTAACTCAGCTGGGTAAATACTTTGACTAATAGCATCTTTCTGCAAAGTTTGGGAATATTTAGGAGTCATAATTCTTCATAAATATTGGTCAACAAGAACAGATTATGTACCACATGGTCTGCACTTGCACACAGACAGTTCATATGTTAAATCTTTCATTGAAGTTAAGCCTCTTAACTTCAATGAAAGAATCATGTTAAGGATTATGTTTTAAACATATGTAAAACTTACAAATCAAACCCAAAGCAATGAACACCCAAATATAGTAAAAAGTATTTGTTTTTATTTTCCAGTATGCATCATTTAAAAAAGTACGGTTTCATTAGTAGTACATTAATGAACTGAAAGAATGAAGTGACACATTTTTGTCACAGATATTAATTTACATTTTACAAACATCCACCAAAACAAAAATGAAATAAATATATTTACATTTTATATTTCTGGTATTTTCATTACATTTTAATATGTATAAAATATATAACATTTATAATATTTTATTTTCAAAAGCAAATTCAAATGTGCAAATATGTGGCATTATGGTTTTAAAGTATTCAGTAGTAAGAATAAACAATAAAGAACAATTTTAGAGATATGAATAAAGCAATTTCTTAAGGAGAAATTATGAGCACAGCAGTATCAATTGTAGCAAAATGTTTGTTATTAATATCCAAACATCTACACTTACCTTAAAAAGTTAAACACAAGATCATTCTTGTGCTATTAAAGCTTCTCCACACTGCTGATTTCTAGCAGTAATTCTAAATTATTGTTAGGATTATTAATTTTTGTCAGTAATAAATCAAGCTTTTCTTAAATCCAGCATTTAACATAGACAAAGTTTATAATCAAGCTTCAGCCTTGTAAATGAGGAAAATGTTGATCAATAATCTAATGCACCCAAAGGAACATTTCTCTGCTTGCATGGCTAATATGGACTTGAAATTTATTTTCAAGTAATTGCTTGTTTTTCTTCCTGAATGACAGCTTTATGAGCAAAGGTTTCCAAAGTATAAGTTGATACATGCCTGAAATATGGGCAAGAAATAATTACCTGATTATCCTCCCATTTAAAAAATATTGGGGTATACATTACACTTACACTATCTATTAGATTATTTTTTAAATAAATACTTGTCGTAATATAACAAATTATAGATATCCTTGCTGTAATATACTTCTGCTTAGATGAATTGTTATACTTGATCAGGCAAAAGACATTTTTATAGTAGTTAGCAGTTTTCAAATGACTTTGAACTTCATTCTCTGACTAAATACCTACAATATTCCCCGTTAAGATTGTGTTATATACACTGTAATGAACTCTTTAATGACTACACACACACACACACACACACACACCCAAACACACAGACACACACCCAAACACACAGACACACAGACACATTCACACATACCAAGGCACTGGAGGGGTTAACACATTAGCATTTTGCTGTTAAAATGTGCTCAATTTACAAACTAGGATTTGATGAATAAATCTCATGCATGTAAACCTAATTACATGAGATAGGAATTTATCAATGTTTTTGTTCATTTCTAAGCTTTTTCATTCAAGTAATCCAAGTGATAACAAATGACCATGACTAATCATCACATTGTAAAGAAAACATGAAACATTAATTGTTAAACTGATAAAAATGAGAAAAGTATTTTGTTAATTTTTGGCTATTGTACTAATCATGTTAAATAAAAATCTCAGCTTTTTTTAAATCAATAGTATCAAAAATAATCATAATGGTATTGTCATAGGTTTTTAAGCTACATTTTACAATGTAATTTAAAGTATATTAAATGTATGTACACAAAACATGTTCTTTTAAATATTTAATGGTCAGCATTCATTATATTTATATATATATACACACACATATATATGCATATACATATGTGGGTATGTGTATATTCATCGAGGAGATATATATTTATACATATCTCATTGTGCACCTTTTCCTTCATACACATGAGCACAGGCTAAATTTTCAAGATATCACAAAAAGATATTTAATAGGTTTTTTAAATTTTAAAATGGAACAATTATAAAATTTCACATTTTTAAAAATTATTCTATTACAGGTAGGTAAACTATTGAAACTTTTTTCTTTTGCTTATGGATGATTAGACCACATCATATTGCCTTCAGATCATATTATCACATTGTGGATGCATTCATGTAACCCCAATATGGGGTACATTGAGATTCAGCGCTGGAATTGAAATTCTGTAGTGAACCACATACCACAACTGAAAATTCTAAGTCGGATGTAACCCACTGCTTTTTCTCCATAAGTTTAGAAGTGGCCTACTATGGGAGCCTGCTTTTGGTGGGCTTCAATTTTACAATGACTGTGTGTTTGATCAGTATAGTGTGCAATCATCCCAAAGTTCTGTCCCAATTACAAATGTGTAATTAGTTGTATGGTCAAAATACATTACATTGAAACTGTTTATTGTAATTTGCTGCTGTTCTTGGGATAAGGTATGTTACATTCGGCTTAACATTTTCCAAGGGACAATTATACACTTCCAAATTTTCTTTTCAATTTGAGGTATTTACAAACTAATTTGATGCAAAATGAATTAATGAATCATAATGAGTATGAAAACAACTTGATATTAAATTTTTTAATTTAATGGATCTGTCCATTATAGAAAAAAATGTTGTTTCCTTCTTGAGTAAATTTTTTTTTTGAAACGGAGTCTCACTCTGTCACCCAGGCTGGAGTGCAGTGACATGATCTCTGCTCACTGCAACCTCCGTCTCCTGGGTTCAAGTAATTCTCCTGCCTCAGCCTCCTGAGGAGCTGGGATTACAGGCACATGCCACGATGCCTGGCTAATTTTTGTATTTTTAGTAGAGACGGGGTTTCACCATATTGACCAAGCTGGTCTGGAATTTCTGACCTTGTGATCCGCCCACGTCGAACTCCCAAAGTGCTGGGAATACAGGTGTGAGCCAAAGTGACTGGCTTGGAGTGATTTTTTTTTTTTTTTTAATATATTGAATCACTTTATTAGATACTTGATTATCTCCACAAGGACACATGTAACGTTTGGTTTACCTGGGAGCCTGTGTATCAATAAAAATGTTTCTTGTTTGTTTGTCTGTTTTTTACATACACAGCTGACTTTTTAAAGGAAGATCTCAAAAAAGCTGTACTAAAAGACAGAGAATGTGTTTCATGTTATACAACTAGCTGTATATACCTGGAATCTGAGTAAATTGCACAACTCTAAGGCTTTCAAATTTCCCAGCCTTTTCATATTCACATTCTTAGGACAAAATATCTAAAACAGCCTGCATAGTTTGGCATTACTTAATCACTTCCATGACAAGGGAGGATAAAGATTTCTAATGTTTATCTTTAAATATCACCTTTGTTCCACAGAAAATAGTACTAAAATGGAAAAATGTCATTTAACTAACATATATGCTAGGTTTGGGACTGCTTTCTAGGGACATTTCAGTCCATGATTTACTAGTAGATTTCAGATTACAAACAATTGTTTCTCACACCGTATTTTTTATATTATTTTCTCTACAAAAGGTTTGGGGGCGGTCACTGAAAATTTATGAAACTTTGATTTGATAATAAATCTTATTAGGGAAAATATAAGTCTCTTTAAAATGAAGGAAGAAATGAGAGGTTCATGAAATTTTTCATCACTCATAATTGAATTAATACATTTTTGGCATAGTAGATTGACATTGGCAGCTAACCATTTCAGTAACAGTGATCCAAGGGAGAATAGTCCATTTCACATTGTATCTATCATAGGTCAATGTGATTATCTTTTTGAAGTTCTTTGGAATATTTACAGTAAGATAAAAACAACTGGAGTGCCAGTGTCAATCATGGGATGAGAACACAGGGGCATATTTACATCAGCAAATGAAAGTGCATCCTTCTTTGATGAGATTTTTTTGCATGCTCCTTGATTTATAATTTTTAACTCTTTGATGTCCCTCATAATACAATGATAGAGCATTAGTTTATGACTCTGCCCAACATGTACTCATCATACAAAATAATCTAAAATACAGAAGTAACCATTTAATAAGTATTTTTATTTATAGGTAGCTTACTATTTTTTATATTATTTACATACTTCTTCAATTAATTCATTCTTTTGTCTCCACTTTTGGTGAAAGCAATATACTTACTGATACAAAGCAACTTAGAACGAGCTGTTTTGTTCATGTGGTATATTTTATAGAGGCCATCCAGAATGGAAGTGTTTTTGAGATTCCACATGACCTTCTTTGTTTCTGCTGAAATTTCAATTTCTCCTCCACTGTGGACATATTATGAATTTTCCAGGGTCTAAAATGATGAATAAGTGTGTTCTGTTTATACAGTTATGGTGAGTATCAATGCAGAGCTTAGTATGTCAAGTTGTGTACTTGGCTTTGCTCGTGGTAGCAGAGCTGGCAGCAGCAGAAGCAGAAGCCTGATTGCCTAAAAATAGAGGGTCCAAACAAGCTACCTTGGCAGCAAAGAAGGAATGAATGCAGTGAAGAACAGCAAATAAATTTGAAAATTCCAACTCCTGAAAGAGAAACAGGTCAGATAAAATAAAAATTAATGTCTTTTAAAATGGATAACAGCTAGATTTTTTTTTCCAAATTCAATACACTTATCTAAAATCTATGATATCTAACATACATAAACTAATTTCAAATGTAGACATTTTTGGACAACATGTAAACATCATATGTATTGAAAAGTTACTTGAACACATGGTGGATAAGAGGTAGGAGGACTGATCACTCTTATCATCTATGAATGCTGTTTTAGCATGATAAATATATTTGGCCAAAATTTTACTCTTGATAATGTATAATTAAAGATAAACTTGGACGTACATTTAAAAGTATTTTTATCTCTATGCACACATCAGATGATAAATGTGGGTTTGAACAGTTTAAAACTATTTTTGATTATTATCTAGAATGAGTTAATATTTGCCATAAAAAAAACTGAATAAGAAATGCTAGAAGGAAGGGGATATGAACTCTTCTAATCAGAGGAGCCAAATGGTTCAATTTCACAAAATAATTTAATTATTAATTTTAATTGTGGCTGGCTGTTTAATGGTGTATGTGGCATATTTACTAAAAACATCAATTAGAGCTCACTAATTCATTTTGGATTTTTAGAAATATGTTCCCCATTTAAATACCAATGGAAATTTTTAACCTATTTACCAGTGGCAACCAAATTATATATATTACAGTGAAAACAGAAAAAAGTTATTTCAAATTATAATTATGTCAAAATAGCCCTAATATCATAAAGCAATGCTCGGAATGGATTTACAAAGACAAAGTTGCTGGTATTTTTTATTAAAGACCATCAATAATCATATAATCATGTTTTAATTCAAGATGATTGAAAGATTAATACATTTATGTGCTTAATGAAATCAGTATAATAAACTTATTCCAAGGATGATAACTAGAGGGTAATAAAGCATATAAAATTCTTACAAACTCATTACTATTTTATTATATATTTTACTACATACATGTAATAAAGAGTATAGAATTATACTTGATATGTACATGACTGACTGTGCTTACAACACTTATTTAGTAGCAGAAAATATTATAAAATGTTCGATACATTATGACACATCATAATATCTGTAATGTACCATGTAGTTATTTAAATAAAATAATTCATCCACGTAGTATTTCCTTAGGTCATGCAATAGAAGTGCAATACACCGAAACGTATATTCAGGGGCATCTATGACATAGAGGAAATGCTATGCTTTCTCAGTAGCTCCCTTCAAACCTTCAGTATTTGATAGTTTCCTATGCGAAACAGCAACTTATTCTACAGAAGAGAAAAGGTTATTCATTTAACTATTCTACTTCCCTTAGCTGTTTACACCAAAAAAAGTTTTTAGTAACTCTATTGTTATTATCTTTGAAGCTTTATTTACAATAATCCACTTCAGTGGCACTAGTCATATATGTCATATGAGCAAGTTTCCCTTTGCCTTAACTCACCCTGAAAATCCTCCGTTCATCCCATCATTCTTGGTGTAGTCATGTTATTTCCCAAACAAATTGTGAATACTTTCTATATCATCTCAAATTAAGTCCACCTGATATGAAAGGTTTGGAAATGTTGGGAAAATGTAAAATGTTCTTGCATGTTATTAAAAAATAAAACAACCACCACAAAAATAAGCAATTCACTATCGATAAGAAGGAGAATATTGTTGGATGGGTAAAAATAGTACGGTAAATAACTTTTTCTCAAAGGTAATTGTACGTCATCTTTATCACAGTACAGATTATATTTTGGTTCCTAAAAATAACAAACCTTAAATATGTAAGTATCCAGGCATGTTTACAAAAATAAAAGTTTTCAATTATTCCTATCTTGTCAATTATTTGTCAATAATTTGATATAAACTGACACTTTAACCTTTTTACACCCTTTTTGAAGAAGTGGTAGACAGGAAATAATAGAGGGTGATTGGAAGAGAAAGCAGGAGACCAGGATGGATCCAGGCTTGGCTCTTCATTCCAATGTCCACACATCTTTCCTCTGCCTCAGTGATCAGCCTTGGCAACCATTCCCACTCTTAGAGTGTCAGTGATTTCCTCTACATAAGTAAACTCATACTGTGGTGAGAACTAGACCTGCATTCTTACCACCTATCAGGCATCCACTGATGATAAACATCTATCTATTCACCCTCTGATAGCTTCCGCCAAGTTCCAGACTTACAAGTTTCCCTCATAAAAAAAAAAAAAAAAAAAAAAAAAAAAAAAAAAATCTTATGATTGTCATCATCCCTCAAATCTCAACAAGTATAAGCTAGCTTCAAAAATGTAAACAGTCGTCCATTCAATAAAATACCAAGTGCTTCCTATGCATCTGCTCTTTTTTATTGTTCTTAAAAGATAGCAGTGAAAAAAAAAAACAAAAACAGGCAAAAACCAACAAATGAACAAAACAGTACTGATGGGATTTACACACCAGGGACAGGAGACAGAATGTGACTAAGGGCATAAATACATGAAGGATAATGTGTCAGAATATGAAAGGTACAGTAGAGAAAGAAAGCAGAGAAGACCACAAAGACTACTCAAGGGGCCGTGGACAGGAAAATTCACGTTGCCTTGTGCAAGGAACTTGAAACAGATGAAGGTGTGAACCATTTCCATGTTTATGGGAAAATATTCCAGATGCAACACTTATAATTTTAAAGGCCCAGAGGTAGGGACATTCCAGGAGAGTTTGAAAAAAAGCAAGGGCTATTGTGGCTGGAATGGAATGAATTAGGAAGTAATTAGCAGAGAGTGAGGTCAAAGAAAACACTTGACATACTGCATGAGCCTTTATGAGTTTCACTGCGAATGACATGGGAAACCATGGTAAATTTTTGAGCAGAGGTGTGACAAGCATTGACTTAAGTCAGAAAATGATGATTTTGGCTGGACTGTTGAGAATGAACTTTATGGAAAATGGATTGAAAGAAGGAGGAGAAGTTACAAAGTTTTCTATATGGAAAGGGGTTAGATTTGAAAGTAGATTTCAATAACTGGGGGAAAAAAGTGTTGCTCTACAAATGGAGGAATTGTGGGAAAATCAGGTTTGGGAGTAAAGATCAAGATTTTGGTTTGGGGTATGTTACATTTGAAAGCATATTAGACATACAGGTGATAAGGGGAAAGCTGCATATGTTAGTATAGATTTAAGGGAAAAATTAGAGTTCAGAATAGAAGTTCAGCTTCTGTTAGCATATAGATAGTAGGTAAAGCATTGTGGTCTGGATGAGAAGATCAAGGTGTGCGTAGGTAGGCAGAGAAAATGACTGGACACTCATCACTGAGATGCCACAGTATAAAAATTTCAGAAAGATGAGGGTAAGGACCAGCAAAGAAGAAATAGCTATAGCTGCCTCTAAGAAAGTGAGAGAGAAAACTGGGAATCTTGTAAAATGACAGCTGGACATTGACCATTGAATTTAGCAACACAGAGGCCATTTTAATCATTTACAAGAGTCCTTTTGTGGAGAAGTAGAAACAAAAGATTCACAGGAATGGCTTCATGAGAAATTGCTTGTGCAGTTATTAATTACTATAGGTAGCTTCTCTTTGAAGAAGAAATCCTACTTTTCCTTCTTAAAGGGAGCAGAGGAACAGATAAGTGGGAAATCAAGAACGTTTTCCTAAGGTTTATGAAATTAGTATATATTTGTAGAATTGCTGGCATGAGATGGAGGTGGTATCAAATCTAAGGACAATTGTAGAAACTATTCTTGAGAAGGGTGAGATCTGGTGCCAAAGTAGAAACCTTGACAATTGATCTGAAGTGGCAGGAGGTGAGGCACAGTATTATTGGCACAACTCAAAGAAGGTGGGTAGATTTGGTGGTTTGTAGCTTTACTTAATTCTGCATTTTAAGTCATTAAAAAAAAAAAGCAAAGTCATTGGTTGACAGAGAGGATAAAGCAGGAAGTATTGAGAATTTGGACAAACTACTAACTTATAGGTATCATTTTCAGGATAAAATCTGGAATTGATCTTCCTCAGTCTGCTTACTGCTTAAAGGTTTTTAATCTATTTATGCCTGAGACTGAAATTTTTTGAGTGTTTGCAATCAGACCTTGGTGATGACCTTGAGCAGTAAAATATAAATAACTCCCACATGCTTAGCGTTCCAATAATGGAACATTAGGCACATCTGAGTCAATAACTCGTGAATCCTCTGAACATGAGCATTGAGAGCATCATTAACTGAACCTAAATAAGTCACCACCTACATTTGCACACCTGTTTCCCACAGTAACATGGTCACGCAACACTCAATATCATTAAAACATAACTCAACTAAATAGCAAAAATGTCAAATTACAGTAGAAGATCAATCATCATATCAAGGAACAGTGAAATCTTAAACTGAATGGAAAAAAACATCAATAGATGTCAACAATGAGATGACATAGATTTTGAATCATTTGACAAATATTTTTAAGTGGTTGCAACAAAATTGTTCCAATAAGCAGTTATCACCATGCTTAGAACAAATGAACATGTAGAAAGTCTCAGAAAAGAAACAGAAATTCTAGGAAAGAAATAAAAGACATAAAAATAATCAAATTAAAATGTTATAACTGAAAAGTATAATAACGGAAATAAAAAAACTGAATAAATGGCTCAACGGCAGAAAGAAGAGAACAGAAGAAAGAAGAAGTGGATAAAAGAATCGTGAAAAATAACCAGTTAGAATAAAAGGTATCAAAAAGATTGAAAAAAGGAAAGAATATTCAGTGAACTGTGAGACTGAAACAAAAATATAAATATATACTATTCATGTTGTCAGAGTACAAAAAAATGAGGAGCAAAAGTAAGGAACTGAAACCTATTGAAAGAAATTTTAGCTGAAAAGTCATCAAAATCGGGAAAAGATGAAATCCTATAGATTTGAGAGACTAAGTGAAACACAAAGAGGGTAAACTCAAAGAAATCCTTGCCAAGACGCATCATAGTCAACTTCTGAAAACTAGACAGCAAAAAGTCTTGA